TATATATATAGGCCTATATATATAGGCTTATGTAGGCCTATATATATGTATACATATCTTTTTATATATTCTTTTATATGCTTGCGAATTGTAAGAAATGATTTTATAGAATTAACATTTTTATCTAAGCAACTTTGCATCAATAGGTCTTAGTTCAGAACATATACATTTAACTAAATCGAAGTTTCGTCTTTTGCTTCTCATTTTGTTTCCCTTTATTCTTTTGCCTATTTGGAATTAATCTAAATTGACTTGTATATGAATGTTTTTATATTTATCAAAGTGAATGAAGAAATTATTAGTTTTAGAAACGATATTAGGGAGCCTAGAACGCAATGACGTCACTAGAAGTCATCTGCGCATGCGAGAAATTCTCGTTTCTCGTAGTCTTCTCTGGATTATAGGACGCATTTTGGCCCCCGAATTAACGTTATGCCGAACGTAGGACGGTGACGGGTGAGTGAAGTCTAGTCGTTCTAGCGTTCGGTACTGTCCTCGCTCAGATCGAAAGCTTCCTATTTGGCGTAGAGAACTCTATATTTTAAGGATGTAAATCATTTTATGATTATCATGATGTTTTCTTTATAGAATGCGAACAGTCTTCGTGAGGAGGAAATGAAATACATTGTTGATATTCACAATGAGTATCGAAGGAACGTAACGCCCAACGCAGCAGACATGCGCAAACTGGTAAGTTGTAAAACTAGAGCAGTACGTACTACATGGAAGAATCTGGAAAAAAAAAAAAGAATCTGAAAAAAAAAAGAGGGAGGGAAGTGGGAAAGAGGTCGCAACTATCCTTTTCCACACTTCCCTCAGTCATCATTCGAAAAATCTGCATATACCGTTCGCGATTTTTTTTTCGTCAAAGGCTATTCTGTGTCTTAGAAAAATCAGTTGTACAACGTATCGTTTTTTTTTTTCTCTCAGGAATCTGGTCTAAAGCTAATGCACTCTACTAGGAGTTCCACTATGTAATAGGCTAATATATTTTGACATATCTTAGACATACCATGTTCTAATTCTTTATATATAGTATAGTTTCTATCGCACTTTCTGTTTAACGACTGCAGAAAGTTATATCACATATGATATTATTACGTCGAATTCACATTATTTTTATTGTAATAAACAAATCCAGTAAAAGTTCCCGTTGAAATAACCTTATCAATAATGATATTTTTTAATAGATATCTTTACTACATTCTTTATTATAGGAATGGGACCAGGAGGTTGCGGCGGTCGCCGCGGATTGGGCATCGCGGTGTCCGAGTGGCCATAATTACGGAAGCGGATATGGAGAAAACCTGGCATTCAGTTCGGAACCATACACCGGTAACATATATACCACTTTGCATGGTGCTCTTAAGTCATGGTACGACGAAAGCGAACATTACAAGTATAACAAAGAACAATGCGATGGAGTCTGCGGCCATTATACCCAGGTAGGTCTAAATAGATGGACCTTTCCGTTAAGCCCTGCCCCTTGGAAATTGTTGCTAATGCCCACAAGCAAAGCAACAGCCTGCAACATTTTTGTTTGTGTGACAAGCGCGTATTGCTGGTCATGTTCTGATTGGTCTGATGTTAACTGCTCAAGTTACCATGGGGCAAAGTGTTAATTGCTTATAGAAATCGTGTTGAATATTCAATATTCAATATTGAGCTGGGGTGCACGACAAAATTCGTTGAAGTAAAAATACATCTGAATCCTAAAATTGGAAACACGTCTCCCTTGTAATTTGTTGTCTTAGCCTTCCCCATTCCACACCCGAGATGCTCCACTACATGCATTATACTTCCCTCTCACAACACACCTTATCTTTTTTTTAGGGGAGGTGGGGGTAGCGTGGGGAATATAGAAAGATAAAGAAGTATTTAATACATCTA